CCCTGAAGATCCTCGCTCATTTAAGTCTATCTGCACAAGTTGCAACAAAGCCCGTAATCTGACAAGAAATTTTGATTGTTGCTACTAACTACTCATTAATTTTATTGCAATTTTTATTTCAATTTTATGCGTTCCGGGCCCGCAGTAATTGGCGTAAGCTGTTGCGGAGTCCCAGCCTGTTTGTACTATTTACATTTTTTGTTTTGTTTATGTATATTTGATATTAAGTTGGCGAAGCTAATAAAATAAAAATAAAGAGTTTAAACTTTAAATTTCTTTACGGTGACCAATTCACGTTATCAACTCAGTTGATAATACTAAATTACCCTGTTATACTCTCCCACCGACGCAGCACCACAGTTTCTTGAGAAACTTACCCCCTTTATTCAGTGGTCAAACTTGTTTACGGCGCTTCCTATTGTCTTGTTATGTCGTGTTACCAACCATCGGCGTGGAGGCTATGAAAGTGTATTGTCACATGACCATCCACATAATCTAAGATTTAAGGTCACTCAAGGAGAAATGAAAACAGCTGAATAAATTTCAGTCTGCCGTATAACGACGCGTCAATTAATTTTTCTCCATTTAAGCGCCGTCAATCACTTTATTTAATCACAGGTGTCCTAAGTTCACGTCTCGAGACGTTTTCATATATTAATCGTTTGCTTTTTCTCGAGGCGCCTCTGATTAAATATAAAATGAATTTCGCATCAAAAGTGAAGGCACCTTCAACTTCATTTGAATCAGTCGATGACTTTCAGTATGGGATACTGCTTTGAATTCTCGTCAAAAACAGAATGAAAACAACGACGCTTTTCATTCAGTCATTGAATGTTGATCAAGTCAGGTTTTCTTACCGACCTAACTGGCTACATTCTCCGTAATCAGAACAGCCAGTAGAAATTTCTCAGTTAAGCGGAGGATAAGACTCTTTTAAGTACTCTCCTTAGAGTTAAGGGAGCGCTGTCAACGTGCATTTTGATAGATAATCACTTCAAATGTAAGTCCAATTCGACCCCCTGTCTCCGGCGTTTCGATCGAAATTGCTCGTCAGTCTAATTATAACATTAGACCATTGTATCTGTTTTCGGTTTCGGTTTGAAATGCTTTTTAGTCTGGTTTTACAATCGTATAAAACTCCGCGTAAAACCAGTATTTAAGGTGCTTACGAAATAAACCTAAACATAGACACCAGATAAACGAGCAACTCCGAATGAATGTGCTTATAACATTGTTGTCTCCAATGAATAGCTTGACTCAGACGAAAACTTTGCAGACGTGCAATGGATATTCGGAAGCCCGAGGATCTAAGCTTTTGATAATAAATTGTCTGTTCATATACTCAAAGCTCCAATTTTTTAAAATAATAAGTCGCCGTGCTGCTGATGTGGACGGTGAATGTTCACTGCCTTATCTGACAGTGAATGCTGGGTGGCACGCGGCCTCCTCTGATATGTTAAAGTTTTCAAATGCTTGATATTCAATCTTGTCCTCAAATTCTCGCATCGCGTTTATATTTCGAAGTGATCGTGAAAAGAGAAAGAGGAAAGAAGTAAGAAAAGATAGAAGCGGTAAAATAAGGATTCTAAAGTAAACGCACGACTTCCTGTGGATTTCGAAAGTATTAATTGTCGATATTAGATTAACGATATGGTCACATGACTATTTAATGCTATTTTTGTCAAGCCTTTGCTGAGAACTAAGATAATCGATGGCGAACCAGTCATAAATATGTATTATGAGAGATTCTCTACTGTGATTATATTATTTTCAGTTTCTTTTTAGTCACCCATTTATTTGTTCCCATAACAACACAAGAGCCTGCCTCGGTCACATCAGGCTAATTTATATTTATTATGTTTTCAGTATTTTCCATTTTTGAGCTGAAGGAGGCTTTGTTCATTTTCTTATATATCGATGACTCCTTATTGCGTAAATACAACACAACATCAATGAGGCATTTAAAAGCATCTTGCAAGAATGTCAATAATCTGTACGACTGTCATGTGATCATTCACTTATGTATGCCAAAGCACTTGGCCTGTTTTTTTTATTTCTCAGGTAAGGGAAAATTTGGCTTGTTTTTAGCGGTATGGCCTCCATGTAGACTGCATTCTTTATTTCTGCCAAACACGAGCGAAACATGTCTCCAACAGTCGGATCGATATCTAGAATTGAGTTTATTGCGCAAGACGAGATTTGACTTATGCGACGAAAAGGATTGAACTTTCTAGACCACGAAAGAAGGTTTACTTCTGTAAAAATATTCAAGTTAAAGTGGCGAAAGCACCGTTCGGTGCAATTGCAGTCTCCGTCCACCTTAGTAAAACGATGCTTGACTGTTGCAACCCTTCCACATCTTCTCCTTTACTCTGAGAAAAAATATGGCTCAGTCACTCTTTCCTGACGTTTTGCAACTACGACTTCCTGTTAGCCCCTGAAGGCATTTTAGGGTCGAATATGACCAAAAACACGGCTATTCAGTGTTATTTTGGTATTCAAATCATTTGGTCATTACTACTTTTTAACTTCCTGCCTGAAAAGAGAGTGCTGTTTTCCGAATCCGTTCATGTCTGATACTTCGCAATTCGCACTCAGTTTGAAAAAACTGTTAAGATTGAGTGAACATAAATGTCATTAGCAAGTCAATTTCTTCAGTTGTGATGGTCAAGTGATCATTCAGTGTATATATTCAATGCAAAATCACTCCGTCGCTTTCAGTTTCATGACTCATCGAGTCGCTAAGGACCGAAATTAAAGAAGTCCTGTACGCTTTTACGACTACTCTGTAACTGCCAGTGGTGTACATTTCTCAGGTGAGAGAAAAAATTGACTTGTTTTTGTGGCTAGATTGTTATGTAGAACGCATCTTGCATCTCCGCTTACAGTTAAACACTCATGTTACAAAGACAAACTGTCAGAATGAAACAGGGATATCGTACTCGACAATTTGCTTTCGGAAATCTGAGAAATAACATTCATAGGCGTAGAATGAAACAGAATGGAAACTTTGCGAGCCGTACGAAAATCCATGAAGAACCAAAATAAGATCAAATAAGTGAAATTTGAGAACCCTCGTACATAGCGGCAGCATTAGTGACACATAGCGGCAGCATTAACTAAATATGAAAATAGCACCATGGCAACGTCGCAGCGGAAAAATCTTGATCGAGTTTTCCTTCTGAAATAGAGCTAAAATAAAGGGGGAAACGTAGTAATTCCTTTTCACTGGCAATAACAAAACATCTTAGCGAGGTTCAGAACAAGTGAATTTGTGTCACTGTCAATTTGATTAAATTTTGTGTCTTCCTGTCGGGTGTTACTAACTATGAATCAGTAGACCGCGGAACCTCCGCAACCTGCGGAATCCTATTTTTTTTTCATAGAAAATTAATGAAATAAAATAGAACTAATAAGACCTCAACACTGTTTGAAGGTTAGTTTTCGGTCTAAAGAAGATGACTTTAAAGGAGATATATGTTTTAATTGTCTTTGACGTCCAACATTAACCCTACAAGCGTATGTAATGTCATAAGGATCAATCAGCATTAACCAATCCTTGTCTGTTAATGATGCAACCATAATTTTGAAAGTTCAAACGGTTTGCGATATCCGAATAACGCTTCATCAGAAGGCTAGAATTGGTGGTCTTTAATTCCATTTTATTGTAAAATGACCCTGGAATGAGGAATACGAGCGTAAAGGAACATCATCGCATGTGATGCATCGTTACTGCTTAACTTGTTGTCATATTGTTTTCTGTGTGGATTTCGTTTACGCATAAATTACCTGCGAGTGTTTTTACGTTTCATCTGTTGTATCGCGAAGAATTTCTGGGTAGCCGGAGGGAATATGCAGAGTTTTGCTCCTAGTGGGTTCGTTTGATTGGCTTTTCTCACAGGCGTATCTTGGAAATAATCACCTGGAGGAAAAGCAGATGAACTAAAACCGAGCTGTTTCACACTTGTTCCTTCTTTACAAGCTATTCATTCATCAAAAAAATGGTAGTCAAACCATTTTGTTAGCTCATAGTTGATAGTTGATCTGTTGCCTGTTTAGAGTTGGCTGAAATCAGCGATTAGATATAGTGAATGGGGAAACGAGAAAGATCAAAGTGACGCTATGATTAACTCGCCCGTGGATAAACTATGCAGATGAGAATTTAGAATAAACAGTGACTTAAAACCAGTGACCCTGTGATTCCAATGAACAGAATTGGGCTTCTGGAAACTAAAAAGACTTTGGGTAGCTGGTGGATTAGTATTCAAGATGAAGAAACTAAAGAATTATTATTTATACTTCTGCTGTAAAGAAAGCATTATTTTATGCTTCTTATTTAGGTATGGAAGTATTCCAAAAAAATGTCTATCTACTTAGCAAAGAGGAATCAAAGACATTGACCCTATCAGAAATTGCAGAATTGAGGAAAGGAAAACAGTACCAAAGTCGCGTGAAATTTTTCCAAGACATGAAGGATGATGATGTGAGAAACTTGCTTGAAAACAAGTTCTCCCCTATCTTGTCAAATAAAAGGTAAATGCAGACTGTGTGGTAAGTACTTCATAACGTACTATGGTAATGATACTCATTAGTAAACCAGCGCAGAACGATTCACATGACTTTGATTTATAAAGAAATTTGAAGAATCACTTTTGCAAACCAAACCTCTTTAACTTTTTTGTCTTATTAGGTTTTCGTGTGCAACACGAGACGGACAGACTAGCGCTCGATTAAATTTTCATGGTGAACACCGTGTTTGGGATGGACGAACGATTAAAAGAAAAGTACAAGGCGGGTCGGCCTTGTATTTAGTCCTGGAGGACGAGGTACACACGATGTATAAAACAATCATAACACCGTTCAGTTTTGAAGCTTATTATACCCTCGATACTTCCGGATTTAGAATCTTTTCGTTTTCGTTACTTTCTGGTATGCCCCTCTGCGCTAAGCCATTCGTAAAATGTGTGAACTTATTTGATTTTCTTAATCAAGACTGAAAAGTTGTCTCCAGATAGTGAGCGATAAAGAATAAATTTTTAACAGAAACATTGGTGATTGGTGTGACAAAGTTGCTCGCAAAGACCAATGGTAAAAATGTAATTTTTTCAACTACTGGCAATTTCCAAAACTCTATGAAAAGTTAGATTACATTCCTGAATGCTCATAAAGATGCATTTATTAACGCCAAAATTAAATGGTTTCGAATAAAAAATGAAATAATTTTTTCAACAATATTTCCATATTTCAAAATCAGCCGGTCTTCAACTCGGTGTCACCTGCAAGAGGAACTCCTTCATCTTTACAAGGTACACGAGGACGACTTTTTCTTCAATTTTTGTCTTCTCTGGTTGTTACCAAACTCTTCCTTTCAAACCTGAAACTAACATGTAAAGCATAAATTCGTTTTCATGTTAGGTCATTTGCCGTCCACCAGCTTCTACCACAACTCTAAAAATGGCCAGACTGTAAGTGATCTTTTAAATGATAACGCACGTAGTGAACCTACCATTTATTTTCTCACATGTGTTCAACAATGAATTTTACTTGTAAATAAGCAAAATTACAGTATCCCTATTTAGGACAGAGACGCCATTTATACGGTCCCACTGGTGCTTTTTACCGGTGTTTTGGAATCAGAACTTGAATCACAAGATTCATAACTCCACTGAGCTGCAGGGGTTTAAGTCATTACTTTGATTAAAGAAATTTCTGTTTATTTAAGGTGTCATGGACACAAACACCTCAATCCGCTACAACAGTCACATCTTTGAAAACAACTAACTCAACAGGCAAGTTGATTTTTTAATTTGTATTTTCTCTTACATCATGAAAGGTATGGGTCCATTGATTTTCTTCTCATTTGATACAAATATTTAAAGTGAAAAATTACAAAACATATGATCATGTTTTGTAAATTTCTTCGCCACACGTGTCATAAGATAACGGAATAATGGATTGAAAATTGGTTGATCGGCGTATGTAAGAATCTAATTGACTAAATTTCCTTCAGTTAGGAAAGAGGCGATTTGTATAACATCTGAATGTCATATAGGTCAAGGTGCAAGCAAAATCACTGATTAAGTTTTATTTTCAACCATCCTGATGTGTCAAGGCATTTGCAAAGTACCGAAGTCCGGAGCAGGAGCTTGAAAGCTCCCTGTTTTACTAACTTTAAATGATCGTCTTAACTGTATTGCGTTGATTTTGAGAATTATTGTGCCAGTCATGGTATTTAGGATAATTTAGTTGCGAAGACATGCATTTCTCTGATCCTGAGGTAAGATTATGTGAAAGTAAAAAACGATTATAACATAGCTAGTAACTTTGTCTAATCAAATTCAATTGCGCGAGCATGCTTCATATTCCTATTGTGCATGCTCATGACGTCAGCAAACAAATCCCTCGAGAAAAAAAAATTTTCCTTCGGGTTGAAAATGTTATAAAACAATTAGTTCAAACGTCGTCTGTGCGTTCATCGAGATATGAAGCACTTGGGAAGTTTGGAGAGCACTCAAGAAGCTAGAGTTGCTCTCGGCTACGCCTCGAGCAACTCTTATGCATCTTTCGTGCTCTCCAAACTTCCCGCGTGCTTCATATCTCGATGAACACACGCTGACATATGAACCAATTGTTAAATGTTCACTAATTGTTTAACTCTCAAATGAATTAAGCTTCTTGTGGCCGAATTGTAGAGAGATGGTTGACATTTTCCTGTCAATTAATTACTTTAAAATGAATCGTCAAAATTAGTCACAGATAATATTTTTTAAGTTTGCTTCTCCTTTTGTTGTAATTGTGTTAACTCTTTGAAACTTGATAATTCTTTAGAAAACGCTGTGGAAACGACACAATGGGAACGCGATATGAATACAAATAATCCTGGGTGGCTTGTAAGTGAATTCTGTTATCATGTTCAAGTTTGTTTTTATACTAGGAATTTCATTCAATGAGAGAAAGAATACGATGGAAGATGGTGAAAGATAATCTATCAAAGATAATCATCCAGCACTCCCGTTACTATCTCCTAACCCAGTTCAAATATAATGCAGCAGTCCTTCTTCAGGAGACACCTTCACTGCATACTACTCTTGGTTGGAAAAGGGGGGTCCTGAGTAAATTTTAGCGGATATTTTTTAATTCAAAAAAAAAATTCTGAATTGAGTAAAAGTAGACCACTGCTCATTCTATTCGTAAGCTAGACCACAGAATCGAGAACGATTTCAACAGAGTAAAAACCAGTGGTCGATCTTGAATCAGAAATAGACAGCAATTAACCTGGCTCCAGGTTTTTGTTACAAAAATTACCATGTTACTTCAATCAAAATTTTCAAATATTTGCAGAAATCGCGATAATGACTATTAACGCCCAAGTCTGACTTTTCTTTTCAGTGGTTAGTGTAGCATAATTTAAGGAAACGCCATTCTTGTTTTTTAATGCTGTTGATTCAAGCACTTAATTCTATTATTTTTTTCTCTGTTTAATATGTAGGGTGATAACCTAAACGCTCCCAACTCGCCAGGTAATTCTGCTTTTCATATGTCATGTCATAACTCTTCGGCTTGGTGCGATGTTGGTTAGTTCAGATTTTCTGTTAGAAATTTTAGTCGCCGGAGAGTAGAGTGAAGTAGTGAAAGGACATTATCCACGTCGTGGAAACAAGAAACTCGAGCTATCGAAATTTAGCCGAAGAATTTAAGAGCATCCGTTAGTCTACCAAAATTAGACTATTGACACAGTAATCATAAACTTACGGCATTTCAATTCATTTCAAGACATCAGTATTGAGAATCTCACGGCCGCTGGAGCAGTTGAAACGTTATCAGAGGCCTCATTGTTGACCAATGGAAATCAAGAACAGAATGAGGTAACATTTTCAATTAAGCAAGGCATTCTTTTAACTTACTATTTGGTGTAGTGGTGTGATTAAATGAAATGATGTGAATGCGAAAAGATATGTGCATTATTTAGATTCATTGAGATAATATAATCTAGAAAAAAGTTAACGAGTCTGTAACAGTCAAGATTAGAGCTCAACCAACTTATTTAGTATATGCTCGTCATTTTCCGATTTCGAACATTTGGTTTTAAATTGATTTTAAGATCTCCGACGTTTATGGTGTATGTCGACACAGTTGCATATTAATTGTTTAAAGTAAATATGTATGTGTTTTTCTCCAATGTACTGTAGTTGATGGAGAAAGATTGTTTGATAAGCGACAAAAGTGATTCTTCCGGACAATCTGACAGCGGCATCTCGTCTGAAGGTGAGGTTGGCCGAGAAAATAGTATTTACGATTAGACTGGCTAAGCTTGATGTTTGTAACAAAATTACGGGAAAAAATGAGACAAACAACTTAAAGAAGTTAACTCTATAAACCTTTCCCTGAAACGCTAAGCTGAAACAGGACATCGGAGAAAAAAAAAACACTTATGAAAAGGTTTTGGTTTGGAAAACACTTATCGTGTGGTTCAGCGTAAGAGGCAAAGTCAATTATCAGTGGTACTTCTCTTGCTATGGAGGTGTAAATTACACGATGTAGATCTGGATTGACGTAGTCCAGTAAATAGCGTGCTCGAATGCGGGTGAAGAGGTCTGGGTTCGAGCAATGGCCTGGGCATTTTTGTTTTACTTGTGGGGAACCTTTCTTTATATCTCCGCTGAGGTGGATAAATGGCAACCATAAAAATATGATCACTAGGTAAAGTGAACAACATCCCATTTCATGTAATAAGGCTACATTTCGAAATAGTAAAACACATTACAACTATATTCGTCATGTTCTTACAAGTATGTAACGAGATGGTGTGATTTTATTTTTACTTTCTTTGCGTCTGAAACTTCGTCTTAGATTCAAACTGCTTAATTTTGCACTATTGTTCATACAGCGAGCGCATGTCCTGCCCAAGCTCTCAACCGACCCATATCTCCACGAAGACAAAATGCGAGAATGAAACCCGCAGAGGGGCCTTTGCAGGTAGATTCGTGTTTTGCTTTCCGATTTGTTAATGAAAGTTACAGGAGCGAAAACTAGAGGTATTATTGAATAATATACCATTTTGGAAAGAGTATCTCCTTTTGTTTATGGTAATAATGTGCTTGAAAAAATTCAGCATTCTCGTTGGTTGAGAACACGTCAATTTATCTCAAGCAGTGCAGAAAGTTGAAATTAAGTGCAGAAATTAAATTGATTGACAGGAGAGTCGTGAAAGCACAAAAAAACAAAATGGCGGACAAGTTAGGATAAAGTAACAAAGTTTTAATCTATTAAAAAAAACACCCAAAAAAGCACAAGAAACTGCATAAAGGTTGGGAAGTTTTGGGCTTTCAAAAACGGCTATGACAAAAGCGTTAAAGTAGGACCGGAGGCCCTGAACAAAATTCACTCGGAGTTTATGCAACAGTTTGTACGAAAAACGGGGATTAAATCGCGAGCGTGATAGCCTTCGTGCACTGGTTACTGCTATTAAGCGAATTCTTACTGAGAAAGAGCGTAAACACTTAATTATTCGCTGAAGAAAGTTAAAAATCTCGTGATAAATTCTTGCGGGAAAACCCCGACGACTCCGGCAACAAGAATGATCACATTTCCGTAATTTAATAAGCAACTAAACACACCAACATCATCAACAAAAGGCAGGAATTTCAGGTATTTTTCCCCTTCCTTTTTATTTAGGGCGGAGGATTATTTCGTGCAGTTGTGGATGAAGAGCTCCCTCGTTCAATGGAAACAGGTTGGGCAAAATTTGGCGATAAGCCCGTGAAAGTATGGGTATCGAGAGATGGTCTTTGTCTGTTTGGAGAGGAAATTCCTCGTAAGTGTCCTCTGTTTTTCTCTGATTTTGCTAAAAACTGATCTTGCACTACTCTCAGCCTTCATTTTACTCAGTGGTGGTGCCAGAGGGTTTAATTCCTCGCCGACGTACGCAATATTTGTTATCCTTCTTCTTAACCTTCTTTCCCAGTCCCATATCAGGTAGAGTTTCTTCATCTTATATGTTCAGGTGTATGGAAACACTAACTTCAAAACAAATCGTCAAAAGTTTATGTTACATTATATGAATAATTTGTATTAAATAGGTGGTGACGTGCCAGGACCTGTTACCGTTACATTCAGTAGTCTGAACGGTGAGTGTGTGGCAAAGGCGACCTACACTTACCAAGAGCGTAAAAATTCAACAACCCCACAGATTAAACGAGCTCTTGATGAGATTGAGGAGTGTGTAAAGCGTCTCAGGAGTGAGTCTGACTTATGTGATGAAAGTGAAGAATTGGCATCGGACAATTCCCATGAGTCAGGTAAAATTTTTTACAGTTTGAACGAGTTACCGTCTCAAAAATTTTATTGCAGGGAATAATTAGATAGAGAGGTTCGTAGACTCAGATAAACTTGGGATGGTCAGGATAACGCTCAAGCTTTTTTCCCTAATTATTTCCTATTTATGGAAGTGCTTGGAAATCATCACTGGGTTAATTTTTTACAGGGGGGCTCCTTCCGCGATGCTCTGAATCATTGTATCAATAATATGTATTAAATAGGTGGTGACGCGCCAGGACCTGTTACTGTTACATTCGCTACACTGAACGGTGAGTGTATGGCAAAGACGACTTCCACTTACAAAAAGTGTGAAAATCCAATGACCTGGCAGATTACACACTTTAAACGAGCTCTTAATGGAGTTGAGGAGTGTGTAAAGCGTCTCAGGAATGTGGCTGACTCATGTTATGAAAGCAACAAATTTGCAGAGGAAAATCACCATGATTCAGGTAAAATTTTCACCTTGTTTGGAAGAGTTACCGTCTCAAAAATTTTATTTCAAGGGATAATTAGATAGAGAGGTTCGTAGACTCAAATAAACTCGGGATGGCTAGGATAACACTCAAGCTTTTCTTATTAATTATTTCTTATTTACGGAAGTGCTTGGTAATCATGTCTGGGTTAATTTCTTTACAGGGGGCTCCTTTCGCGATGCTCTGAATCGGCAAAATGATGCGTTAGCAGTCCTAGAAAAACACACTTATTATCAAGCCGACTTATTTTTATGTGGAAGGGAATATTTTCGAAACTGAAGTTATGCTTTCTCTTTCCTATGTCTTTTTTTATGACTTGAATTAATAACTAATCAACGAATGATTGAGATGATGGTAAAAACTTCAATTAACTCGACATCACCCACCAGCCCTATTTTATCGGGAATGTTGAAATGACAGATATTCATATAAAGTCAATCGCCATTGAAAGTGCCTTCTCAGAAGGTACTTAACATTTTGAAGTAAAGGGTCATTATTTTCACTATCGTGTACTGAATTTACGAGAATGCTGTAGTAGTAAGTATATAGATGTGGATTATTTCAACTTTTGTTATTACTGGGAGCTATAAAGATTGTAATATAACTGGAGAACTGTATACTTTAGTTCTGTGATACGAAATCTTGGTCGTGACTGAATTGTTCCATGATGCACTGATTTTTTGTTTAACATGAATGTTTTTGCCGACCGTGTCATTTCTCAGGGGTAACACAAGTGGTGAAAGCCCAATTAGGTGAGGAGGGTTATTTTGGAGATACAGAAAAATCTGACACAGAGAGTGAAGATTCTTATCGTATGGATAATAACGAAAACGAAATAGAAGAAGGTAAGTTTCTGCCTATATGCACGCCGGTGCTCTGAGATAACTAAGGTCGCAAATTTAGAGTTAAGGTCGAGGATGATCCAATTAATTGCGGCTAAGTTTTCCGGAATGCACTGAGGGGAAAACTTATGGCTTAAGATGTAATCCACAGGCAACAAAATTGGCGATTTTTTTTTACATCATTAATTTTCAGTGTGCAAGGCTAATTGTTTTTAAGTTTTCTACGTGATTTGTTACCCAAGAAGTCCTAACATTCTTGCTGCTTCCAGCTCGCTGTTAAGATAATAGCGTATAGCTTCCATATTAATTTCTTTAATGACAATCGTAACTCAATAGGCCGATCCAGCAGTATCATCATTATTCAAGCCTACCCGAGAATAAACAGAGGAGGAGTTTTATCTATTCCAAGGTTGCTCTGGGATAAGAATGCTAAATGCTAATGCTAACGCTTCT